CTGGGATCCTCCAGCAGATTTCAGGGTTCCCATCAACTCGGATGCAGAAAAAAAGTTACATTTTTATTTTCACGGACCTCTGAAATGCAGCATTGCCTTCAGCTATTTAAAAGCATTATTCTGATGAGTACCGAGGCTTCACCAGACTGCCAAAGGGCTCCTTGACACACACAGTTAAGGAGCCCTGCCTTGTAGGACTAATTCCGTTAAGACTTTCAATTAGCTGCACAACAAATGAATTATCAGTGACTGTTTATGAAAATGCTGGTGTGTTTTACCATTGGACCAGTACAAAGAAATAGAACCCAAAACACACATAAGTTTTAAAAAGACACAACTAGGAAGCAGTGGTTCTGTATACAGATGTCTACATGTGTGTGGGTGGGTATGGGCGTGTGTGTGTGGCTGTGTGCACGAGAGCATACATGTGGGTAGATCTTCCACTGAAGTCTTTCACAGATGCCTTATCATGAATGAAAAAGCATTTATTAAACCCTTCCCAAACTCTGCTAAGGGCTGGGGATACAAATATTTTCTAAAAAAAAAAAATGGTCCTTATTCTTCCAGTCTAGTGCTTAGTGCAGTATCTGGCACATAGTAGGCATTTAATGAATGTATATCGGTTGATTGATTATTTTCTAACAGGTGAAGACAATACACACAGGGGAATAGTAACTTGGGAGCAGAATTTACTTATGGAGAAGAGCAAAGAGCAGGGGACGAGGGGAGGCAAACAAGAAGAGGCAGGTAGGTGGTGAGATGCCCTGGGTGGATGGTGCCTTGCCTTCAGTCTTCAGAATGCCCTTCTGAATCTCCTCCCAGCTAGCAGGTCTCTGTCCTTGGAGCGCTGATTTCACCTTGGTAAATCAGCTGAACCAAGCCTGATGAATGAGGAATGATCATGCTGGATTATACTCTTTTTAACCAAAAAGTAGGTGTGCTTATTACAGACTCTAAAATCAGTTTCTTAATCTCTAACATGCTTCTTGAGTTAGAGGCTGCCTCGCTTTTTTTTTTCCACTGTTTCATCTTCCTGGGTTAAAATCTGGCCTCATACACTTACTAGCTGTGTGACCCTGGGCAGGTCACTTCACCTGTTTACCTTAATCCACTGGAGAAGGAAATGGCACACCACTCAGGTATCTCATTTTGGGGGGTAGCTAGGTGGCATAGTGGATAAAATCCTGAACTGGAGTCAGGAAGACCTGAGTTCAAATGTGACCTCAGACACTTAGTAGCTGTGTGACCCTGGGCAACTCACTTTACCCTGTTTGCCTCAGTTTCCTCATCTATCAAATGAGCTGAAGAATGAAATGGCAAACCACTCCAGTATCTTTGCCAAGAAAACCCCAAATGGGGTCACGGAGTCAGGCATCATTGAAAAATTACTGAACAACAGATGGATGACATATGATTAATAGATGATAGATAGCTTCAGTGTTTGCAAAGCACTTTACAATGTACCTTCTTTGAGAGGCAGTGTATTGTAATGGATAGTGCACTGGCCTTGGAACAAGGAAGTTCTCAATTCAGATCTTACCTTAGACACATGCTGGCTGTGTGACAAGTCACTTAAACCCTCTCTGGACCTCAGTTTCCTCAACTGTAAAATGACTCAATTCTTCCAACTAGGATCCTAATTTAACTAAGAACTTAATATTATGATCTTATGATAATAAGAGCTAGCATATATATATATATAACTATATATATGTGTATTTTTCATTAAAGTTCCATGCTCCCTCTTTACCCTCTTCCCGCCACTTCTGAGGCTTATTAATTATTCAGCTGGTTCTAGTTACTCCACGGACTTGAAAGTGATAAAATGACATATCTCTAAGAAGATTTGATAAAGACATCTTATAACCAGCTAATTAGTTGGATTTCATTTTCTTTTTTTTTTTTTCTTTTTTGCCTGCAGGAATAATGCTGGATCACGGGGTATGCACACTAAACTCCAGAAAGGTGGGTTATTTTCCATCATTTTCTGGAGAAAGGGTTAATGGTGCTGAAACGTACTTCAATCACAGCCTCATAAAAGGAACAGAGATGGCCAGGCCTTTCCTTTGTTCATGGAAATGTCCTCCTCTCCCCCTACAACTCCCAAACCCCCTCAAAAACAAAACAAAACAAAACAAAAACTCTTCTTCTATTGACAGAAAGCAAATGCTGCTTTTTGCAGCCAGGCCCGCCTGTCCTGTTTGTGCCTGCACTGCCCAGGCCTGGCCTTCTCTTATCTCTCTCAGGCAGACTCCTTGCATGTTGAGCTCAGCCTACACAATACCAGGAGCCCCAGGGCACCTAATATAGTCATTCAGGGCCTGGCTTTAATCACCTGGTCAGCCACAGGCTTGCATTTCTGATTCCCAGGCCCTCTGTGGCCGTCAGCACCAGCTCCAAAGCATCATTACCTGCTCACAAAAGGATGAGCGTTGTCAGGTGCCCTGTTAACACAAAGACAAAACACGAGTCTTTATTCGGAAAGCCCCACCGCCTCCAATGTTGCACATAGCTCTATTTTAGAAGCTTTGGTTTTTCCTCTGGTTAGAGAGCACCTTGCAGGGGCAGCAATCAGGAATCAATGGAGAGACAGCCCACGTAAGAGTGGGGAACACCTGGCTTCAAATCCCACCTCTGACACATCCTGACTGTATGACCCTAGACGAGTCAGTTACCCACTTCTCAGGGCCCCAGGCAGCTCTCCAGGCCTCTTGTTGAGCAGAAGCCAACCCGTACTGGTGGAAGGAGGTTCCTCCCCAGCAGCCTCCAACACAGATGAAATCACATCTACACACACACACTTAACAAGTCATCAGGCTTCATAACAACGTTGATCTAGAACTGCAAGAGATCCCCAAGGCCAGCTAATCTAATTCATCTTACAGATGAAGAAACTGAGGCACAGGGAGGTCATGCCCTGCCTTCAGTCACACAGAGTGTCATCTAAACCAATCTATCCATTATTTAGCATTTACTCCGTGATAGTTACTATGTGCACTGTGGAAACTGTGGAAATAAAGTGAGGCAGCCACTGACTCAAGGAGCATGTTATAGATGAGGAAACTGAGGCTCTGAGAAGGTGTTTTGCTCCCTTTAAGTGGACTACAGGCTACTTGAGGCTGTTTTGTCTATTTAGTACAGTGCCTGGCACACAGCAAGTGCTTAAGTGCTCACTGCATGTATGTAGTATGTATGAATGTATGTATGTATGAATATACATAGCTAGCTATCCATCCTCTATCTACCCATCCATCAACCCACCCACCCATCCATCCATTTACCCATCCATCAATCCACCCACCCATCCATCCATCCATCCATTTACCCATCTACCCATCTATCTGCCCACCCACCCACCCATCCATCTATCCATCCACCCATCCATCAATCCACTCACCCATCCATCCATCCATCCATCCATCCATTTACCCATCAGTTGATCCACCCACCCATCCATCTATCCATCCACCCATCCATCTATCCGCCCACCCACCCATCTATCCATCCACCCATCCATCTATCCGCCCACCCACCCATCCATCCATCCATCCATTTACCCATCCATCTATCCATCCACCCATCCATCAATCCACCCGCCCATCCATCCATCCATCCATTTATTTACCCATCTACCCATCAGTTGATCCACCCACCCATCCATCTATTCATGCATCTATTTACCCATCCACCTATCTATAATCTACTCATCCATCTCTCATCTATCTATCCATTCAGCATCAATCACGTATCTATCCCTAGGGCTAACCCAGTGCCTGGCATGTAGTAGGCATTTTACTACGTGTTTGTTAGGTCAATTGGTTTGTCCAAAGTCACAGAGACAGCAGTGATCAGTGAAGGTTTGAGTCTAATCCCTCCTGACTCAGAACTAGGGTTCTTTTCCCACTAGGTATGGCACGGTGCCTGGCACATAGTAGGTGCTGAACAAATGTTTACTGACTGATGACCAGGCCACACTGAACTGAATTTGTGGCAACTGGCCTAGGGATGGGGACAAAGTGAGTATGGGGGGAAGCATCATTCAGGAATGACTTGGCAACTGAAATAAATCCCCAAGCCCTCTAATTTAAATTAGTTACAGTTCCAGTATGTTGTTGTTGTTGTTGTTTTTTAAATGGCAGGTGGGACCAAAATAAATGTTATTTAATTACTAAAAAATGTTAGGCTCGCTATTGTGCATGAAACAGAATGATTTAAAGTAACTGACCTAGGGTACCGTTACCCAGAATGGGCGGAAAACAGGAACGTTAGCCTTTTCTGAGCCCCCGTACAAAGTAGCTGTGGTTTGGAAGCTGTGACTGTTTACACAGAGAGCCAGGAACAGAGGAGGTGTGCACCAAGAGTTAATGTTTTATTGAGCCAAGATGCTGCACAGATACTAGACACAATAATATCCTTCTGGGAAAATGTCATGGGGGGAAAAAATGAAGTCCAAACAGCTTTCCCGACCCTTCTTTTCATAAGAGGCCCTGAAATCTCTCCCAAGTAAAAGGAGGCAAAGCTCACAATCCAAATGGAAAAAAAATCCCCCAGCAACATGCAACATATTTGAGTGGGTTGAACCTGCTCTATAAAAAATTTATTACAAAAATGTACATTTTAATAAACTTGCAAACAGGAAAGGGCCTGACCTCAATAACATACAGAGTGGCTGCTCTTTTAACACTGGTTGTCCGCCGTCTCCACCTCTTACCTGGCGTCTCCTTTGTCTTCCCTTTGGTCTCTGCTCCATGGATGCCTCCTAAACCAAAGGTGGCAGTGCCCAGACGGGGCGGCTGTTCCAGCGACTTCTCTGCCAGCCAGGCCAGCCAAGGGCTGCTTCCCCCATGGGTCCCATTTTCTTCTCTCACCCCCTCATAGCTGTAGGCATTAAGAGTCTTGTGGAAGGACCTACGGCCCATGGAGTGGGAGACTTGTGAGGTGGGGAGAGAGAGGGGGAGGCTTCCTTCATGGCATGATAAATAACCAGCACTCAACAGCAGTGCGCTAAACTCAAGGGTGATTTATTGCTTTAAGTAACTAAGCAAGAAAGAAAGGACAGGCCATTGTTTTGGTAAATACAGTTTGAGTGTTCTTCCTAATTTTATCAGTCTGAACAAGGCTTTCTAGACAATACACATACTTCATAGACACAGCATTACATAGCGCACCAACTCCATCAATGATACACTGATTAAAACTGTATGAAGCAAGGGCACCCAACCAAATATGGCCACCCTGAAATGACAGCAAAGCAAATGTATGCATTGGACATACTGGATACAAAAACTCTTTTTTTTGGGAGGGGGGGAATTGATACAAACACAGAGCACTCAAATGGACTTCAACAACAGGTAAGCAAAGAGAATTCACTTTTCATCCCCAGATAACTAATGTCTATGGGAATACTCTCAGATCTCCACAGGGAAGTTGGTACCATACTCCTTGCCTAGCACCATTTTGCCAAAGCAGTAGTGAGTGTTTAAGGACTTCTAAGGATGAGGAAACATGGACTTTTGGGTACTGCTGACCCTGTGAAAGGGCCAGGCAATTGTAGCAGAATGCAATGGGGGTGTTGGCATTCTTTATGGGCAGGCTGAAACTTGGTTCTGGCCCAGGGAAGTCCACTTGAACTTTGCCCAAAAGAGGAAGTTTGCATTGGATTGTTCAAACCCCAGGGAAAGGAGAGTGAGGGGCTTCTGGGCTAAGGGCCTGGGTTCTCAGACACCAGGAGAAACTGCCCAAACTCTTACATTTTAAGACATTTCAAACGTATGTGCAGAAACAAAATATGGTGGAGTGAGGGAGTATGGAGTTCTCTTTCGAAGAGACCACGGCGGTGTATTGCCAAGTCAAACAGCGGTCTGCGCCTAAGTCCTCCCAAGGAAGGCGGTCAGCCAAACTCTCCTCGATTCACGGAAAACTGTTTTGAGTCAGATTTCTTCTGGCGCGGGAGGCTCTGCTCCAGCGGCCACCACGGACCCTTCCTCCTGGTTATCCTCTCCGTTGCAGGTGACCACCGCCTCACAGGGGACCCTGCGGTCAGCAGCTGCGTTCACCTCTGAGCTAGCGTTCGCCTCTTTGCCTTCTGCCCCCTGAAGACCCCCACCCAGCTCCTGAGGGACCCCTTCCCCATCCTCACTTGGGACCCCGTCCACCTGACTTAAGGCAGGCAGACAGTTGCCTACATCCCCAGCTCTGGGAAACGGGTCTTCCTGATTTTTCTCATTTTCTTCCATTTTCTGTTTTTCGCGGGCACTCAGTTTAGACTTGGATTTTCTCATCTGCCGGGTGTGCATGTCCTCACGGGAGAAGCGCCATTGAAACTAGAAATAAAGGGGAGAGAAGAGAGTTAAGAAGCCTCCATCTAGATGCCCTGACGTCCCACAGGCCGGCACGCTGAAACCGAGGTCTGTTCCTGGTTACCGTTTCAGCGTAACTCAAACTAATTTCATTAAAGAAGAATCTATTTGCCCGAGGCCTGAACACCACTAACTTATGTTTACTGGGAGCTTTAAAGATCTCGTAAAGTCACAGAGAGAGAGCTGGAGGAGTCCCCAGAGGCCTCTGGTCCAATTCTCTCATTTTACAGATGAGGGTACTGAGGCAGAAGTTAAATGACCGGCCCAAAGTCACACAGGTGGCAAGTGACCTAGGTTGAGTTTTGAGCCCAATTCTCTGATACTGGAAGTAATGGTTCTTTTCATCATACTGCCCTATAAATTGAGGCCTCCCGGCTCTTTCCATCACACCACAAAAAAATCCCCATCCTAAGTCTTTGCTAAATGTCTTGCATTGATCTTTTTTTTTTTTTTTTAATAGGGATGTGGCTTTCTGGATTTTATTTCTGAAACGGGCACCCCACAAAGCCATGGGGGGGAAGGGGAGGGTGGTGTGGTGCATTCCTCCTCTGGTGCTCTGTGGGCTACACTTTCTTCATGGGGCATATTTCAGGATTGAGGTAATAACCCACAGAGTCCTGGCAGACACTCCACCCTGGCTGAGAGCAAGAAAACCGAGCCCTCTATCAGCCCGGGCCAGCATAAGGGGGGCCCCAGGGACTGTTCAATTTGTCCAGCAAGTCAGCAGCTGTCCCCACTGCTGGCCGGGGAGAGGCAAAGGTCAAGGCCGGGCCCAGCAAGGCAAGGAAGATGCAGAGAGGAGACACGCCGAGGACCCAGAGGTGGGAGGGGACGCCTGCCTCTGAGGTGGGAGAGCCCACCCGGACCCCTGGCCAAGAAAGGTGAAAATGGTTCTCCTTCTGAGCAGGAGAACAGGAAGATGCCCTTGTTGGCAGCCAGCAGCACCCCACCAAAGCCACTCCACGGGAGAGCGAAAAACAGGCTGCATCCATCTGCTGCCCACCAAGGACGAGGCGCAGCCCTGAGCTTGGCCCGTGCATTCACACAGCGACTGGACGCCAGGAAGAAAAACAATGAAGCAAGCCATAAACATTTATTATGGGCCTACCGTGTAACAGGCACCTAGCCAGGCGCTGGGGACACAAAGAGAGGCAAAAGACAGTCCCTGCCCCCAAGCAGCTTACCATCGGGCAAACAAATAGAAACACAGCAAGCTATTTACAGGATAAAGAGGAGAAAATTAGCAGAGGGAAGGCACTGGAATTAAGAGGGGCTGGGAAAGGCTTCCAGGAAAAGACAATTTTAGTTGGGACCTTAAAGGAAGTCAGGGGGTGGAGATGAGGGCAAAGTGCATCCCAGACACAGGAATATGTATATGTGTATAGGCATAAATTAATACGCACAGACGTATATTCATTCATTCCTGATCCTGTTTCAGGAATAAACACTCCATCTCCAGGCATTTTCTCTGGTTGTTCCCCATGACTGGAATGCTCTGCGTCCTCTATATATGTATGTATATGTATGTGTGTGTGTGTATGTATGTATGTATATATGTATGTATGTGTATGTGTATATGTGTATGTTTTATATGTATACATACATATAGACACACATATACACATACATACCTACCTAATCTTGTTTATCATATATCTATCTATATATATCTCCTATATATTATACACACATTTATACATACATATACACATATTCCTGAACACACATCTATAATCTATATATAACAAATATTTATATGCATATGTATATATTCCCCCAAGTCCCTAGATTACATTAATTCCTCCAATGTAATGATGATTACAAGGCGCTTGGGGTCCAATGATCCCCAGTGATTCCAGAGAAGCAGTGATGACAGACCCAATGTGCAGAATGAGACACACATTTTTGGACACAGTTACATGGGAATTTGTTTTGCTTGACGATGCACATTTGTTACAAGGGTTTTGTTTTTCTTTTCTTTTCTTCCTCCAGTGAGGGAGAGGGAGGAGAGAGAAAAAATAAATATTTTAACTGAAAAAAATTTAATTAAAAAAACCGAAAAGGGGCTGAGGCCTGCATGCTCTGGTGAGCATACAAAAAATGGAAAGAAAAATGCAGCTCTGTGGGAACAGCAGGAGAAGAGGATGTTCTGAAAGAAGCTAAAGGGTGCAGCTTGGGGCTGCTCATTTATAAATATGAAGAGATCCTGGGTCAGCGTTGTGATGGAGCCTGGCCCTTGTCTACTAGAAGAAATAAAAAAATCCCCCACCCTGGCAGTACCCCCATAGCCATTACTTATCCCCCACTTAGAAAGGGCCCAGTGGTAGTGCAAACACTAGCGGCCTCCACTGATGGTGCTTTCATCTTTCCAAGCGTTTCTGCCTAATCGTCCTAGACAGCAGACACAGTAACAACGTGGAGGGCTGACCCCCAGGACCCAAGCTACAGCCAGCTCTGCTATCACAAGTCACTAACCCTTTGTGAGCCTCAGTTTCCTCATCTGGCAAAGGAGCGGTTTTCTCACTAGGAGATACCTACGTCAATGAAATCCCATGTCTGATTGAAAAGAAATTAAAAGAGGGGATTGGCTCAGATGACCTTAATGGCCCCTTCCAGCCCTGGCTCTACTATATGTGATTCATGCAGTAACTAGGGTGGTGGGATGCGCCCCATTCTACAGGTAAGGACAGAAAGGACGGACACCCTGTGTAAAATAAGCCAGCGTCTGCTTATTCAACAAAGAGTTGTTAAAAATAGTTGCAGGCAGAGCCCTGTCCTGGGTACTGTAAAGTCAGGGAACATGGTCCAGGATTAGGATCCAGAGAGACCCAAACCTCAGCACCTTTGTAATCTAAGAGCAGACAGGCCATGGAAATCATTGGTGTTGTCACTGTGTCAAGGCCAATAGACTGATATGTCCCACCAAAGGGAAGCTGAGTTTCACCCCTTTCATTTGTGAGGGGAAGCTAGAGGCACCAGAAGGCAGAGCACTGAGCCTGGAGTCAAGAAGACCCGAGTTCAAATGTGACCGCAGGAATTGACTATCTTGGTGACCCTGGGCAAGTCACTTACCCAGTGCCTCTGTTTCCTCATCTGCAAAATGGAGGTAATAACGGCATCTACATGCCCCCCCCCCCAGGTTGCTGTAAGAATCAAATGAGATTTTATAAAGTACTTGGTACACAGTAGGTGCTATATAAATGTTATTATTATTATTAATATTATTATTATAATTATTATTACTGGCTGCTCCTTCCAAGGGAAAAGGAATAGCTCTTCTATTGACTAGCTGGGTAACTTTGACAAGTCATTTACTTTCAGCATTCAATAAAAACGAGGGGGTTGGTACAGATTTAACCAACTCTTTTGAGTACAGAGACCCCTTTCAAACATCAAAAATGCTTACAGAGGGGCAGCTAGGTGGCACAGAGGATAGAGCTCCGGCCTTGGAGTCAGGAGGACCCGAGTTCAAATCCGGCCTCAGACACTTGACACTCACTAGCTACGCGACCCTGGGCAAGTCACTTAACCGCGACTGCCTCACCAAAAAAGCAAAAAACAAAACAAAAACTTACGCATCACCCTGCATGACAGCAGTCGTATAACCTTCTGACTGAGAACATGCACGATTGGCCATCACAGGATATAGATTGAGGGCCAGAAAACACCTCAGAGGCCATCTAGCCTAACCTCTCATTTTACAGGTGAGGAAACTGAGGCCCAGGGAGTTTCCGGAGTCTTTGCAGTAACTCGGTGGACTCCTGGGGCCCACTGCCTACGGACGAAGAACCAATAGACCAGATGACCTCTACATTCTCTAGGAGTCCAGGCTAGAATTCCCTGGGGCGAGGGGACTGTTGCATTTTTGTCTCTACATCCTCAGGATGGACGTCCCTGGACGGTGCTGTGGAACATGAGCCAGACTTGGAATCGGATCCCCTGGCTTCATGTCACAGCCCTCTAAGGTCCTGGCCCAGAGTGGATGCTTACTCAATGCGGATTGATTCGTAAGTGGCGTGCCCAATGTCACACAACTAATACTCAATAAATCAGTCAAAAAGCATTTAATGAGGAATACCTACCAGAGGTATTTACTAGCTGTGTGACCCTGGGGGAGTCACGTCATCCTGTTTGCCTCAGTTTCCTCATCTATCAAATGAGCTGGAGAAGGAGATGACAAACCCCTCCAGTTCCTCTACCAAGAAAATCCAGTCGCACATGACTGAAACAAGTGAACAAGGGCAAAGTATGCCAGATCTGGAGTCTGAGGTCTTGGGTCTGAACACCGTCTCTGTCCCTTCCTAGCTGGGTGACCTTGGGTCTCAATCTCCTCATATATAAAATTGGGGGGGGGGATCTTGGGTTAGAATAGATGGTCCATCAAGCCCCTCCTAGCTCTGGACCTGTATGCCTGTGATCCTCCCTGGATGGGGGCTTCTTAACCCTTTTTGTGCCTAGGACCCCTCTGGTGGTCTGGTAAAGCCTCTGGACCCTTTCTCAGCATGATGTTTTTAAATGCATAAAACAAAACACAATTACAAAGGAAACCAACTATGCTGAAATTGTCACCAAAATGCTCTTCAGAAACCAAATTCACGGACCCCTGGTGAGGGTCGGCTTCTCTAGACTAACTCACTGAACAGCTTCCTCAGGATCCCCACACCATTACAGGTGGGGAAAGGGGGCGTGCCCCTTTGGACCGAGCTTTCATAGCGACTCCTTTCCAAAGGTCAGCTGGCCCCAGTCAGGCTCCCCAGCAGCCCCCCACAGAAGGCTCTAGAAAGCACGATGGCTCCAGAGCCACGAGGGGGGCGCCCAGGGTGGATGTGGCCAGGACAGCAAACAAGCGGCACAAACAGGGTTGAGAGTCAGGGCACATCTGCCCTCTCTCCCTCTCTCTCGCTGAGCTCGGGCTGTCCAGGAAGTGGGCTCACACAACCGAGGAATTTCCTTTCCACGCGGCC